GGACTTTACCATGACAGGTAAATGCCATTTGGAAACAGTGATCACAGTGCTATGAGTTTCGATATATATTTAGGCGAAAATCACCAGGGAAGTCCAATACAATCATATTTAAGGAAATTCTCTAAAATAAGAGAACTGGTACAGAGTTAGTTGAGGGAGGAGCCAAGAGGCTTAAATCCCTTTGAAATGCTTGGGCAAGTTAGGAAAGGTAGCACCAAGTCCAAGAGGCCATCAGCATGGTTAATGAGTGGCATTAAGGGAACTATGAGAGAAAGTAGGCTTCCTTCAGAAAATGGACACGATGCCTAATGAAGGAAAACTAAAGGGAGCACAGGCTTGCATGAAGGAAATGCAAACAGCCAATAAAAACCACAAAGAAGCATTTTGAGGAGAATATTGTTAACAACACCAAGGCCAACAATTCTGTGAAATCTTTAAATATGTCACAAGCAAAAAACAAATCGAACTGCTGGATGATAATGGAATACCAATACAAAGGCAGATAAAAAGGCTACAGAGAAGCTAAATTAATTCTTTTCATTGGGCTCCCAGCAAAAGATATAGGGCAGATACCTGTACTTGGACTGATGTTTTCAGAAAGGGAATATGAGGAACCGAGGCAAATAATGCTGACAAAAGATGATGTTCTCAACCTTAATGACAAATGGAAAGTGAAAAATCACCAGACCCAAATGATATCCACCCTAGAGTTCTAAAGAATTCAAATACGAAATTGCTGCTCTTCTAACAAAAATATGTTAACATATCAGCCTCTGTACCAGAGGACTGGAGAATGGCCATGTAACACCTGTTTTTCAAAAGGAATCCAAAGTAGATCTGGGCCTTAACATCTGTTCTAGATAAGTGGTTGAAAGCTACTTTAAATATAAAATTAGTAAATATATAGAAGTCCTGGTAAGAAAGCATCAACATGACTTCTGCCAAGGTAAGCCCTATCTCAACAGCTTTTTAGAGTTAGCTGAGAGTGTCAGTGTGGGCAGGGGAAATTTGATAGATATTTTTCACCTCAACTTCTGGAAGGTTTTTCATGAAATCCTCCACCAAAGACTCCTAAACAAACTTAGTGGGCATGGAATAAAAGGAGAGGTCCACCCATGGATCAATAACCTGTTAAGGAACAGAAAAGAAAGAGTAGGGATAAATGGTAAATTATCTCAATAGAGGGGTGTAAACAGTGGAGTATCACAGGGATCTGTATTGGGACTAGTTTTTTTAATTTATTCATAAATTATCTAGAGTTAGGAGCAGGGCCGTCTTAACAGCATTATGGGCCCCAGGCAAAGCGGTGTACTGGGGCCCCTACGGCAACTACAACTACTGTTAATTTTGGAAGTTTTCCAATTTTCCAAGGGTTAACATACACAGATTAGTATGGGGCCCACGGGCAAGTGCCCATCAGGCCCATGCATTAAGGCAGCCATGGTTAGGAGTGAACAATGAAGTGGCTAAGTTTGCTGACGGTATCAAATTATTTAAGGTGATTAAAACAGAAAGTGATTATGAAGAGCTGCAAAAGGATCTCGTCAGACTTGGAGAATGGGTATCAAAATGGCAAATAAGGCTTAATGTAAGCAAATGCAAAGTAATACACATGGGGGGGGGGATCCCAACTTCAAATATCAGTGGATGGGGAGCTAGCAGCAACTGACCAAGAAATAGATTCCATAGATCATGGGAGGGAGCTCAGTGAAAATGTCAAGGCAAAGTGCAGCTGGTGTGAGAAAGACAAATTTCATGTTAGGCATAAGTTAGAAAGGAAATGTCCTATCTCCTTTTATGAATCTATGGTGTAACCAACTTAGAATACTGCATAATGGATATTGTAGAACTGGAGAAGTTGCAGAAAAGGACAATACCCCGATTAAAGAGCTTGAGCAACTTTCTCATGAGGAAAGGTTGTAACATCTGTGATTGCATAGTTTAGAAAACAGGTGAGCGAGGGGAGACATGACAGAGGTGCACAGAAATATGCGTGGTGTGGAGAAAGCGTATAGGGAAACCTTTTGCTCCCCCTCAGAATTCTAGAACCTGGGATTCTTCCTTGCAGCTGAATGGTGCGAACATGTTTGCTGTCACAGGGGGAAATAAGTTCTGTCGAAAACAAAGAGGAAAAAGAAAGGGGCCAGCTATAGTCACTGCTTCCACTATCACACTAAACGGCAGCAGTGCAAAATGTGAGGTAGCTTCTCCCAGTATGCACTTCTTGGCCCTTTCATCTCCTTGTACCACCTGAAAGTTGCTTTTAATTTTGCAGTTCCTTTTGCCATACCTGAATTTTATCAGAAGAGTAGGGTCACAAACTTTCCAGCTGGGTCAGTCTGCAGACTTCTTTTGGTACTGGTTTGATTAAGCTGCCGATTGCAACGTACGGGAGCAAACTACAGAGGCAGGATTTGCCACCTTTTATGTATCAGATCAGCTCTGCCTGCATGTTGTTTTCAGTGTGATGCCTTTGGCTATGCAGGTGATACCTCACAGGGTCAGCATTTTTGCTGTGATTACCACTATAGACCAGCACAGCTATCCCTTTGGCAGTTGTTACAACTGAAGACAGCAGGTTTAGCTGTACTGAGTGGAAATCCTTTAACCTCATCAAGAAACTCACTTCCATTGGATGAAGTGGACAGTGTATAAAAAAGCCCATGCCAAAACAAAATTGTTGGCCCTTTAGATTTAGGATGCCACAAGACTCTCAGTTAGTTTTGCAACAAGTGTTGTAAAGTTTCTTCCAGGGTTGGAACAATCCTTTTTGGAATCCATCCCTCTAGCACCTGCAGACTTCCTCTTGTGCTCAGCCTGGTCCTGCAAAGCAAGCCAAGCCTAGCCAAGAGGAAGTACGCAAATGCTTGAAGATCTCTGACAACGTTCCCCATCAGGAGCATCTGCAGTCCTTGGAAGAGGGGTGCTGTGAGCAGGCACACCGGGCACCATTCCTGACAACCAGCCTTCTTCCTTGCCCGCTGCCACTGTGTTCTTTGTGATGAACAAACCTGGTTTCTTAGTATGGCTGGGTTCGAAGAACACAATAATCTAGAGTCCAATAACAACCCATACTCAGCTCTTGAGTATGGCTTAGCATGTTATCTGAACTGTGTCAGGACTGGGCAGGGCAGCTTCTTAGGTTCCTGCCTTTATTCTGATCAGCAGGCAGTAACAGCTGCCATGTGGAGCCCCCTGTATGTGCCCCTATATGATGGCTGTCACTTCATGGTGGACTTGAGAGGCAGAGATGTGATACTGAACAACATGCCTGTTTATGGCAACACACGTCCATATGCAAGGTGAGCAAAAGCAGCCATTTGTCACGTGTGAGATGCTAAAGTGTTTCTGCAAAATTTCACTCAGTATTCCACTTTTAGAACACCACAGACTGATCACAGACGGTGTCTCATTGGACCCTTGGAATTTTGAGTTCAGAGAATGTTTGAAAATGACAAGGAAAGGAGAGCATTCTTAGCACACCACTCTAAGGACAGGAGATAAAAATGTAGACTGGCGCAAATGAACCCATTTTCTTTGAAAAGGAGCAGAGATTAGCACTAACGTTCTGTATGTGAGAAAAAAGGCTATCTTCACCTCATCACACTGGAGCTTTTGACAGGCACATGGGGGTTTTGCTGTTGTTGCCAGACTCTTAATTTCCTTTCTTTCCATTGCATTGTGCTGACAGACAATGCAGATAAAGAGGCAGAGGTTTTTTGTTCAGTGGAAGCAATGCTTTGTTTATTTGTTTGTTCTATCAAACATCCTTTGCTTAATTGAGCAGCTTAACTAGGCAGTTGTCAAGCATCACTGTGCCCTCTCCAAAATACTGCAGAGCTTTACAAAAAGCACATGCATGGAATCATGCGTGCATGTATGCACATGCAGACATTTAGTCTAGAGTCTTTCTGAAAAGAACCCGATTATGTTGTGTTGTGAGCCGTCCCGAGGCTGCGTAGCAATGGGGACGGCATATCAAAACTTTAAATAAATAAATATTATGAAATGGGAGCACAGGTTTTCTTAGCCTAAGAAAATGGAGACGCACTTGCATTGCTACCATGCATGTCTCCACTGGGATCTTCTACCCCAAGGAAGGAACATGAAATAGACCTTCTTGAGTCCGTAGTCATATCTGGTCTTTGGAGAACATTGTGGGTGCACTCATGAAATGGTTGGCACAGCTGTCACAAAGTGCTGATTTCCCAGAAGGCAAACTGGTAAGAAAAGTAACCTGTCAAAGAACCTATGTACAAGGGGACAGAGTTTCAAAACACAGAGCCACTCTTTTGAGCCATTACTTTGTCATGTGATATCTGTTGTTCAGATTGAGAAGTAGCACAAATAGGAAGCAAGATGTCTCCTACATTACATGAAGGCTGCCTGAGATTTCCCATCTGTTCTGCTGCGGTTTCAGCAAAATCTAACTGCAAACACTCAGCTCTCTTTTTCTGTCTCTTGAACCAATACAGAGCTGAAAGCTGAGACATTCCAAAGGAGTAGAAAGGGATTTTCATCCTTTGGGGGATCTGTAAAGCCTACAATCACCCACCTGTTGCGTGATGATAAACCCATTCACAATGCCAGAGACATTAATGATACTCAAGATAGGCAACACACGGACTGCCTCTATGCTGCTCCTCTGGTGTAATTCTGATCTTAGCCACAGACTCGCTACCTGCCATTGTGCAAACCACTCTCTCAGCCTCAGCTCACCCAGCAACAATGGAGAGATAATTATAATGACCATACTTACAGGACTGCACAAAATACAGGATAATATTTGAGAAACACTCTGACATTATATGAACGATTGTTATTTTCTGATATTCTGCTGAGATAAGATTATACCAAGAGAAAGAAAAAAGACATAGAACTATTTTTCAGCTTTCCTTTCTGACTGAAATGTTTCCTCTTTTTTCTCCATGCCATGTCCTTAGAACACCTTGTTGCTAAAAAGTCAAGCTTATGTGACATTATCCTATTTTGTCTTCTAGGGTTTGGCATGACCACACCAGCTACTATCACTGGAAAACTTTTCCTGATATTTTATGGCCTTATAGGCTGTGCAGGGACCATCTTGTTCTTCAACTTGTTCCTGGAACGCTTAATCACGGTCATAGCCTATGTCATGAAGTCCTGCCATGAGAGACAACTAAGGCGAAATGGAGCAATTCCCCAAGACTTCCAACGAGCCACTGGGAATGCCGAAGTGGACAGCTTAGCAGGATGGAAGCCATCCGTGTATTACGTCATGCTTATCTTGTGCCTAGCATCAGTCACCATTTCCTGTTGTGCCTCTGCTATGTATTCACCAATGGAAGGGTGGAGTTACTTTGAGTCTCTTTATTTTTGCTTTGTGGCCTTCAGTACTATTGGTTTTGGTGACCTGGTGAGTAGCCAGAATGCCCATTATGAGAGCCAGGCCCTCTACCGATTTGGCAATTTTATCTTTATTTTCATGGGGGTTTGTTGCATCTATTCCTTGTTTAATGTGATCTCTATTGTCATCAAACAATCCATAAACTGGATATTAAAGAAACTAGAATCAACATGCCATAGATGCCAAAGAAAACTCTTCAGGTCATGGAGGAATGTTGTGGTGCCAGGGACTACACGAAACCAACGCAACATTTCGATTGAGTCTGATGGCATCATTGAGAGTGACACAGATGGACGCAGAATGTCTGGCGAGATGATCTCCATGAAAGACCTCTTAGCCTCTAACAAAGTGTCACTGGCCATCATGCAGAAACAGTTGTCTGACAGTGCCAATGGCTTTCCAAGACAGATGAGCACTGTGCCCAGACAAAATGGATTTGCTGGTGGTGTGGGTGCTTTGGGGATTATGAATAATAGGCTGGCAGAGACAAGTATTGATAGGTAAACCTTCACACTGAAAATGCAGCGGGGAGTGTTGGATGAGTAAGGATCAAAAGTCATCACAGAGACAGAACTAACCAAGCAGGATACCTGTTAGAAGGGATTTCCACAACTGTTGCTGGCAATTAATACTTGTTGCATTTTGCACTACAGCACCTGTCTGCTCTTGCTCTTCAGGGCCCGCCAAAGAAGATTCCAGTGGTATTGCATTGTCTAGCTGTACTTACAAGCTTCTGCATTGTGTAGAAATGAGATAGAATTGCAGAGTTAGAAGCAGGGAAATGAATGGGGAAAAATCATGGCTTGGCTACATTGGCACCTTGGTCCTATGAGCTGCTGTGCTGACAGATCAGAGCAGCTCATCGGATTTTGTGCAAAGGGCACTAAGTGCTGGTATTATGCAGAACTTGAATCCTCACGCCAGTCCTAGGTTCTGACCCTCCCCACAGCACTGACACAGCTGCCCACATTGGCTGCTTGCCTGTTTCCTTACCCTTCGCCTTATTGGCCACTTCTCAGTCCAAGAGCCCTAGAATGCTAGTATAATGAAAAAGGGGATTTGAGGTGGAAGAGCTGAAAAGCCCACTTACCCAGTGCAAGTGTTTACATTAAATGGTACAATACAAACCATTGTTTGCCCTGTATTCATCAATAATAATCAGACTATGAGCTTCTCTGGAATTAATTTTGCATTCAGTTTATTTTATTATTCCCTCCTTTCTAATCAAAAGCTAAAATATTACAATATTTTCTTGGACACCTCATGCTCAAAAGTTGCAAATACTTGTTTACTCATAATTTATGCCACTGGGAAACAACAGCTTGTTTTCCAGATAAACATCTAAAAATTATGTATTTCCTAATGAAGGGATAAAAGGTGAACATACTGAACAAGTTCACACCCAGCAAATAAGCCACTATTGGTTGTGTGCTGGACAACGCCAAGTACTCCCAAGGGGTTCTTGAGCTTGCTCTGGCTTCTTCTGTTCCTCACCCCTCCTGCTGGTTCCAGCACACACCATGGGCACTTTGCAATGGAACGCCTCATTGCCTTTCGCCATACATCTGGACCCTTCCTGCAGTGCATCCCCTACAGCTACTGGCTATTGAGGGAATCCCCACATCAGATTGCCAAATGGAATTGATTTCATCAGCTATGATGTATGCAGTAAACCCATTTAGCAGGTCCCCCACCCCCGGGTCTTCTGTTGCCCAAGCCTGCCTCTAATATTTAGCCAAGCATCTTCATGTTCTGCTCTTCCACCTCAATGTTTACCTTGTTTAGCTGGCAAGCACCTTTTTTTTTGAAAAGGTGCAGTATTTCACATTACTTTACAGTAAGCACAACCCACTTAGAAGAAAACTCCAGCTCTCCAGTTTTTAGCCAAGCATCTCCATATCCTCCTCTTCAACTTCAGCAATTACACGGCTGACTTGCAAGCCACCTTTAAAAAAAAAAAAAAAAAAGTCTACTTCACATTAATCTAAGCATATGCACTTTCAAAACTGAGAACACCTGGTAGCAAAGTAGCTCCAGCTGCTTTCCCCCACTTGGCCAGTCGGTTGCTTCCTTCCACACTAGCTGTTACATCTTGATAAGGGTTATGGGGCAGTGAGCAAGATCAGGAAATATGCACAAATGTCATGGCAAAGCAGTAACTCAGAGGGGAAAGTTGTGGGAATGTAAAAGCAGCTGCCTGCTGAGAAGGGATGGGGGAGGATGGTGGCCACATAAGTAAGATCAGAAGGAGCAATGTGGTTTTTGACCTCTCTGGCTGTGCAGCTCTCTAGCTAGCTCCAACTGCCACTGATAAAATTGCTTTGCTGGATTCAAACAACACAACAAGCCACCATGGATATCAAGAAGCCCTGGGTTCTCAGGGCAGTTTGTTCCTGAAAAATAAGCCACCTTGCAGAAACCATGCTGGATTCACACGCACACAATCCACCATGGCTGATCACCCATGATGACTTGCTGAGTTGCATGAACCAAGTCAGAAATCCCAAGAGGAAATCATACAGATAGATAATTACCACATCAGTGTTCAGTACCAAATAACCATTTCCCATTGAACTTTTCTGTATCTGCATTTGTTTTCATCATAGAATTAAACGTCAAGTACTTTCAAAAAACCCCCACTTCCTTTCTTGCTTTTTTGACACACAACCTGTAGGTGGCACTATGGTACACTGTCATAGCACTAATAAAGAGGTGTCAAAAGCAGTTTCATTCCTGAAGGAACTATTTTTTTCTGCTTTAAAAAAACCTCCCTCAAAGTGCTGATTAGACCCAGAAGCAGAGCTGGAGAGTTACGACATAATTTAAGGAACCTGTGAACAACCATGAGAAGGAAATGAAGAGGGCATGATAAATGTAAAAAAGCCCTTTGAATTTAGAAGTGAGAACCTATTTGCTGCTGGATTCACAGGTAGGTACCACCTGCGTGCCATACTTCCACATGGTAAAAGCCTTGTGTATTTGGGGGCAGATCAATAGAGCGCTGTTCTTCCCTATCTGTTCAGATAATTTGCCTTTCTGCTTGCACCAGAATTCTGCACATGTGTGCAAGATATTATTATGCATGCAGTGGGATCCTGTGTGAGTTTGTGTGTATAAAACCATTGTTCTGCCCATGGTGAGATCTGGATAATGCATGTAACTTTGCTTCTAAAGCAAAGTTCTGCTATCAGACACACAAGTATAAAGTTAAGCTGGCTCTCTGAAAGCCATCCAGCACCCTTGTCTATGATTGATTCATTATAAAAATTTGATCCATATTTATCACTATCCTCAACAAACAGAAATCTGAGGAGAGGCTCCTATCCAAACACAGATCCAAAAATATGTAAAAGGGATAGTAAATTCAGGTGGCGGCAGCAGGGGAACCATGAATATGCTCAAATGCAAACTCATACTAAAAATTACACAGACTTGCTGTTTACAATCAGCCCAAATTATAACATGCTGTGAGGAAAGAACAGGAGAAAGCAGCCCTGGGATTATATTATCTAAGTAGGTTTTTTTTTCTTTTAAGACAAAGAGTTTTTTTTCTGAACAGGACACTTTCAATTGAAGAGCAACTGGAGATCCTTGGGGATCAGCATTAAGGCCTGTGTTATGAAATATTTTCATTAGCGACCGCAGAAAGCAGGGGGGGGGGCGTGTATTGTTGGAACTTAGTTATGACTCCAGCTTTAGAAGGCACTGTAACTTCTGGAAAGATTGAGAAATTATGACCTCATAAACCAAAGTGATACAAATGGAATGAAATTCAACATTGCAAAATGTAAGGTCATGTATTTGGAAGCAAACAATAAAAGACATTTGTTATCTGCTACAGAGTCATTCACTGAAGCAACCCACAGGGAAAGAAAATGCAGGGTATTAGCTAACTGAAAGATGATAATAAGCTGCCAACATGATACAGTTGTATCAAGACTACTACACATGTTGCTTGGAAGTATTAAGACAAGATATTTCTAGATGGTATTGAGACATTTTGGAAATTTTGCACAAGGTTCTACTGAGACTACATTTTGTATACCATGTCTAGTTTTTATCATCCAGAAAGAATGCATGCAGACTGCACATGATAGTGGAAAGAAGAGTGATGGGAATGCTAACTGGAATCGAAATAATATGAATATTTACCTAATAAAATGGAAGGGGTACTTGAAGAAGGGGGAATTTGATGATTATAATACTATATTATTAATGGTAATGTAGTGGTAATGTCATAGAAGGCATTACATGGGTGTAAAATCCTGTGCCTTATGCATGTAAAAGGGGTAGGGTAAAAGAAAGATGGGTGAAGTGTGTCCTTTTGGACAGGTGTAGAAGATCTCTTTTAGGAAGATGTTGCCGCAAGAACTACAAGTTACAATGCAGGCATAAGCACATTAAAGTTACAAATCAGGAGTTTTAGCTACCACGAGTATTAAACACTTTGATTATCTTGCCCACCCAGATCACGTGATTGAAAACCTCAGTTAATTTAAGGTAGAGGCAGCTCTATTCATAGAAGATTCATTTGGTACTTCAGTCATGGCTCAAGAAGGGCTGTTCCTGGGAGGCTGAAGCGGGTAACAGCCCTGCTTGGCACAGGATACTGCAAAATAAACAGAGCTAGAGCCCATGTCCATAGTGCAGGCTGAGCCCTTTGCCATTTAATCACCGGTTAAAAATGAATTCAGTGCAGATTGATCCCAGCAACAGCATTACAAATAGTTATCATAAGCATCCTTTGACATGGAATGCTTTGCAAGTTCCTTTTTAACATTCGTCTAACTTTATCAGCATCCAATCTACTTCTCAGCCCTTGGTGATGATAATGACAGGGTTTTGATTAGGGAAGATGGAAACGCCTAATTTTTAAAAATGGAACTACCCAAGTTATCATTATGACCAGGTGGGACCTAAATGAGAACAGCTTTAATGATGAGAGAAACACAGAAACAGGAAATTAGATGGATCAGTAATGGCTAGAGAACAGCATTTTACATTAGATAACAGCAGAACTAAGATATTAGATATAAGGAACAGTCGTTGCAAGAAAATCAGAGTCATTTTGGCTTCATTTACTCTTGTATGAAGCCATTAAAACTGGTATTTACATGGCAGTAATTGGACATAAATGAATTTACATAAATCCAATATTCAGTGAATAGTCTTTCCAACAATTCATTTATGATATTAGCTTATAAGTTTACAAAGTCAAGAAAACAATTTATTTAATTCTTAGGCTGCCCAATATCCAAAGCTCTCTGGGTGGGTTACAACACATTAAAAATTCAGTATAAAATACACCACAGTATAAAATATGTTTAAAATGTTGCAATACAAAATTTAAAATCAAATTTAAAACACATGTAAAATTCTAAGAACTTTAAAAAGGTAACTCTTTGGACCTGTTTAAGAAACTAACAAAGGCCCAGTAAACTAATTAAATGCCTTGTGGTAGAGGACAGTCTTAACCTAGTGCTGAAAAGACAGTAAGATTGGCACCAGGAAGGCCTCAATGGGGAGCTCTTTCAATAACTGGGGGACACCACTAAAAAGGCCCTTCCTGTTGTCACCAACAAATATTCCCTCAGAGGTGGCAATCAGAGACAGACCCCAGATCTTGTGCAGGTAGATGACAGTTGGGAGAGGTGTTCTAGTATGAACCAGAATTCCTGAAAGAAAGGGGGGAAAGGTAACAACTCCACCTACGGCAACAGTGGTCCCCCCACCTGTCTCAGTCATTTCAGCCATGTCTTCATGTCAGGGTTATACCTGAAGTTCTCTCCCAATATGTACTTCTTTTGACATAAAAAGAACCCCATTCTAAATAATTTTATTATTTTGGTTTTTTCCATCTTTGAAACATTAGCTGTTGCTTGAAGGATGGTTGGTTTCACATCTTCCAAACCTGGGAGTTCTCCAGATTCTACCAAATACAAATGTGTGAGCAAACTAAGTCATGCCACACACCTGACATGCTGCTCTTTAAACTGGTGCAAAGACCACACCGTACAGTTCTGAATCAACATTTTGTCTTCCCTGACATGGAGGAAAACAAGATTCCTGTTTCAAGAAGTATAATATTTTATGTGAAACAAGGAAACTAACCAAGCAAAAACACTCTTTGTAAAGGCAATAATTCCCCAACCAATGATTTCTAGGAAATAACTTTTATTGCTACTCTTTTTTTTTTCAAAAAAATGAAATTTCATGAAAACATGAGTTTGTTATTGTAGTTTCAGACAAAATAACGTGTCTGTAATGAATTTATTGATTTGAGTTGAAAAAGGACCTTACAGTATCTTGTGGAAATTCTGATCAGAATACCAAGCACTGCCTAATTCCATTACAGAATTCCCTTTTGTATGTGTTGCATGGCTCAAAATAGCGCAAGTGATACAGTTGCACTTCCCCTTTCAGTATTTTAATTGTATTGGATAACTTATTGAAATTGGTGTGTGTGCAAAAGCTTGGCCAGGCCATGACAAATAGCACCTCGTGATGCTTTTACGGTGGTAAAGTGCACTGGCAGATGCTAATTATGCTGGCTTTGAGGCCATCAGATTATGTTCCATTTGGAAATTCATTTCAAGGAGAAAGTGGAGGTTCCTGGAGCTTGTTCATCTTTCTTGTCTACTGAATCGAAAAAGTACCCTGCAGCATGTCACAGAAATGCTTGCAGGTCTTGGAATTACAGCTGCGGAAATTTGCATCTCTTTCCAAGTATGTTTACTTGTTCATTTCAAATGTGCAAGGGTAATAAATATATACACATTCAACAATCCAGTTTTTTTCAGGCATGTGGAATTTGGACATTTACATGAAGAGGTGGTAGATTCCCACCAGATTTAGGTACATTCATCAGAGCCTAATTCCATAAGTACAGATGCTCATTTAAAGGGAAATTCTATACACAGAATTTGAAGCATTACCTTTTAGGCCCTGAAGAGTTTGATATCTGAAATATTTTTTTTTTAATCTTGTTAGATTTTCTAGATTCTTGTAAGCAATTTGAAGAAAATATTTCAGTGAGTTCCAATTTTAAATTTATCTGCTCTGCAACTATATTTTAAAGCTAAATGTTTAAAGATAGAAGGTACAAAGGAGCAGTCTATCTGTACCCTTCAGCAGTTGCACTTTAAAGCTTAAACAATTTATACGCAGAGAAAATGTAATGGAGGTGAAACTGTTAGACAATCTTTCTGTTATATCTGTCTGCCCTTGTCTTAATATGAAGGTGTTAGAAATGTTCTCTTTGACTTCTACAGGAGAACAAGTTGAATTTTCTTCATTATAAATTCATACTGAGCATCTAGGTCTAAATGCCAGGTGTTTGTTATTCACACATCAAACAAAAAGGTTGTCAAGGACTCCAAACAGAATTTCTGGTGGCAACCTTTGAAAAAGCTTTAATAGGACAAAAGTCTTAATATATACAGCACACTGGAGTCCACCCATCTCTCCTGAATTCTGTGATATGTTCCTTTTGTTCTGTACCACCAAAGGGAAAGGGATGTAGCTTACTGGTGAAATGTATTCTTTGTAGGCAGAAGGTCTTAGGTTCAATCTCTGGCATTTCCAAGTAGGGCTGAGAAAGACTCCTGTCTTAAGCCATGGAGAGCAACTGCTGGTCACTGCAAAGAGTACTGAACAAAATGGATCAATGATCTAACATGTTAGAAGTTCCTACAGACAAGAACACCGAACAATGACACATCCCAGTGTTGCCACGTCAATAGAAAAGAATAGATGATTGCTGAGGCCAGAATATACTCACTCAAATACAGCCAGTTTATAACTTCTCTGGGGACTTACTGCCATCTCCACGTTGCATAGATCCACATGTCTGAGGGGAAAGGGTCAGATGATTTTGTTACTGTGAGCTGAGTTCTGTAAGAAGAAAAAAACTGGAATTTAAAAATAAAATAATGCAATATTCACAGATGTTGCCACACTGAAAAATAAATCCAATTACATTTACTCTGCGGATAGACACTCTTGATGCTTAGAAATCATTTACCAACTTGAACCACGGTTCTAGGGAAATAGCAGAAAAAATTCTCTCAGCGTTTAAATCTCCAAAAAGATCAACTGCCACTGAGCACTGCTGACTGGAATTATGCAAGACGGAAGTGATGTTTTTAAGGCAACTGTAGCTCTAATCTTATTACAGATAACTCTACAGGTTGGTTGGTTGGTTGTCTAGTTATTTATTTACTGGATTTCTAGCCTGCCCTATTAGCCACACAGCATAAGAGGTGTCTACCTGCCCATTCATTTCTTATGTTCATCTACTGCACAGTAATCAAACCTCTCTGGGCACTTTACATCATGATAAATATAGAATAGAAGCTTTTAACATATAAAACTAAACCTATTTACATAAACATTTAAAACTGTTTGAAACAATGGAAAGCAATTAACAATAAACTACCAGGACATTTTTTTGAAAAATACATATGTCATTAAATGCTTGGGAGCAGAGGAAAGTCTTAAAAGGTAACAATATTGGTACCAAGCAGACCTCACTGGAAAAAGCATTCAATAACGGGGGGTGGGACACTACACAGAAGCCCTGTTGCCATGCTCCAAACTTCTACCCTGTCATGCTACCCATAAGAATTCAGGGCAAGATCCAAAGGAATATGCAATTAATTCCATACAGCTAACAGAGTCTTGTGTTTCTTGTATATTTCATCCTTTACGAGGGTAGAGATTTACCTCTTGTTCCGCTGCAA